TTCTTAACACTCGTATTACTAACCTTATCTTATTGTCAGTAATACTAAAATGTTCGTCTATTGACACTTCAGAAATGTCAATTATCTTTAATACATTGCAATATGATTTTCGTAGTCTTAAAATAAAGAAGACACTTTTTTTGAAAGGAAAAAATTCTTAAAGACGCGCTTTAAGGAGTAATGGAAAATTCGAGCGATAAACATAAAACAACTATTCTAGAGATCTATCTCCTTAGCATCACACTTTTAGTCAAGATCCTTTATGGTCAACCCTATAATACAAATATAGTTTGCGACTTTAAATTACATCCAAGAACAATAATGGACTTGGCATGGATATTTTAACAATAATACATATTAAAAGCATCCTAAATGTAACTGCATTTCGAAAATGGGAAATAAGAGCCAGAAAAGATTTCAATGATATTTTAAGGAACGTCAAAAATACTTGACACATTTAAGAAACATTCGTAATTCCCATGGATGTGGAAAATATGAAGTTTTGAGTAAATCAATCTGCATTTACAAGAAAGAAATCCATGAACCTAGGAAATGATTGAAATTTGATAATTTTGATTCAAGAATGGAATTTATAATTACGTTTTCAGAAAAATGTTACGAAAAATGAATGGGTGAAAGCATATATTTTTTAGATGTTCGAGAGGACATTCATGGTCCCTGGGAAAGAACAATTCGTCTCGGCTTCATACCGAAGCCTTTCATTCAATAAGCATTATTTTAGCTTTTGGTTTGATAAAATTAAAATCTAATTGTGTATTTAAAATGTTTATCAAAATAAACTAGTTTTGAGGCTTAAATGCTAGTAAATATGACTCCAGCAGGTGAGAAGAAGAGCAGGAAACGGCGAAAGTTGAAAGTTCCTTTCGGCAATTTTCCGATGGGACATTGAAAATCCCGAGTCGAGCTTCCTCACGAATCAAACGGTGTTACGTTCAAACGGACTGACCCCATTGCGCCACCAATAAAATCACAAATTCCACGCTTAGAACTCGCGAACGGCAGACTCAAGTACCAAAATAACTAGAGCTCTTGCGCAGCGTAAAAGTGCCACTAAGCGGATAATGCATTGAAATAATTAGGTGAGACGAACGCAAGACCGTTCGAAAACCAAGATTCAGTCCGTCTGAACTGAATACCGTTCGTCTTCGGAATTTTTGAGAGGTGATTTTTTTCGATTTTGAATTTCAGGAGAGGATGCGGCGAGCGCTGACTCCGAAGCTGGATTGAAGAGGGCTCTGCGATGACGCTGAGATACCACCAGCTGTGTTCACTGGGAAAAGTGAAACAGTGAACTCAGGGTGGTCCCCAACACCGCCGCAGACAACAGCCGGACCAGACAGCAAGGCGGGTCCGTCAGACAGTGGTTGCTCGTCCTGTTGCATATCCTCGTGGATTGAAGGCGTTTCTGACGGCTCGTCGCATCGAGCTGAGGACACACTTCAATTTCACCGGTGGAGCGTGCTTGAAGATACGTCGCTTAAATTTAAAAATATTTTCGAATGCCAGGCAAAGCTCATGGCGCTACAAAATATTATCTAATAACCTTATTTTTTTTAAAAAAAAAAAATTTAAAAAGGTTACTGAAATTTCTAGGGACTACATTGATAACGATTTCAAAACAACTTACTTCACTGGAAAACAAACACATTGGATCTTGAGTCCAGACTCTTAAAAACATCGACAAGAAAGAATACTCTTGATTCAATCGATTTTTGCTTAAATTAAGAACCAAGCCTCTTAATTTGAGCGGATTTCCTTTTGATTTAAGCAAAAATCTGATTGAATCAAGAGTATTTTTTCTTGTCAATGTTTTCAAGATTCTGGACTGTAGATCCAATGGGTTTTTTTTCCCGTGTTACAGATATGCAAAAAATAGGTTCACCGAGAGTTTGGTCAAAATGGCAGGATATCAGGGACAATCAAAGGCATAAGGGCTCTTCTGACGCATGAAATGTAATTAAAATTAATTTAAATTATTATGGCTTGTAAGATTTTGATTTCCTGATAACGAACCTGGCGTTTGAAACAGCCGAGTCGTAAACCTAGAATTCCTTTACAGTAGTTCAGGTTCAATTTACTAGAGATGTTTCGTAAAAAGTATGAGAGACCGTTTTCTGATGATTATTGGATAGAGACTAAAAGATGAAATTATGAAAAAATTGAAGGTAAAAACTAGTATGGAAACAGTATGGTCAATGCACATTCTACTGAAGAAAAAAGTTATGTGGTGAAGGGAAGCATGGTTCAATTTCTTGAATATAAAATCCGTATGAACATAGATAACAAAGTGTGGAAAAAATACCAATGTAAAAATAGTGTATTTTCTTCGGAAAATACACTAATAAGAACTTCGAGTACAAATAGTTGTATGGTTGCTGAGATCTTAATGTACCCAACACGAACTACAATAGTCTGATAATTTATTTTTTGAAAAGTTAGACGATGAAACGAACGTTCAGGATTTATTTTGAAAAACATAAGGATACATGACTAAAGAGACTTTCCCATAGATTTGGTACTGAGGCGATTATGTCAATATTTTGGTAAGCATTTGCGTGAAACGGATGATTTTAGGAGGATGCTTTGTAAGTAGTACTGCTTTTGGTTCGCCGCACTGCAAAATGTAGTCTCATTAGTGTGAGAGCGTACGATCATCGTGCGATCGTAAACCCACAGCCAGTCTTGCCAAGGGCTTGCAGTTCAAATTGCATACAGATCAACTGAAGGCGTTTCAACGGTCGAATGGTAAATACGTGTATCACAAAAAGTGGGATCTGTGGAAGGAGGACTGCCGCTCCTGCTACGTTCGATATAATAATACTAAGATAATTTTACGAGATGAAAAACTCGCATAGATAAAATTTTTCAACTGCTAAGTAATAGACAGAGCTGCAGGCGACACATTTATCGTGGCGGATAATTCACAAATATGAATAAAAATAATCTGTGAGGTTTTTGGAGGATTTGCAGTGAACGAAAGGCACAAATTCACAAATATGAATAAAAATAATCTGTGAGGTTTTTGGAGGATTTGCAGTGAACGAAAGGCACATGGACCCAGGCTGACGAATAAGCGTGCAGAAAGCGAATACCGAGACCGGAAATGCGTAGTTTAGAGGTTATGAAAGTTAGTCGAGTGCCAAACACATGTCAAGAACAATCTGACACTCTTATCTGTAAAACAGGAGGGTTAAATTGCACAATCTCATATTTGGCAACAAATCTTAGCAAATACATGACACGTGCAGAGTAATTTGCGTCATTCAGATCATTTTTTGGCTAACTTAAAGTTTGGCACCGAAATTCCATCAAGAGAGTTCATTTGGCGAAACCGACATACTCGATGCAGGAGATTTTGACAAATTCGTGTTTACGCTTGGGGTGCACTTGTTCCGATGATTAAGATTAGATGTCTACAAACTTGTCGGACATGCGACTCATGTTATATTGATACATTTCGACTGAATTTTCATTTTTAATCTCGGACAAAAAACAAGATTCAGCGAATTTTTTATGCTTCAAAGGACCCTAATTCATAAATTACACTGACATCAGGACCGAAAAGCTTCCATGTATAATGTTCCATGATACGACTTCCGCAATCTACCGAGCTAACGTTTTGAACTCCTTAGTATATCTGTATTAATTGTAGGCTCTGCCCCTTCACTCCTTCAGAATTAAATATGATCTAATTCTAATTATTTGATAGTCTTTATACAACAGTTGGGATTTTTCCAATATGAGACTAGGAAAGTATGACTCCTTAACCTTATTGGTTCGTGTAACAGTCTTGAAAAGTTCCCTGAAAAATTAAGATGGTTTTTTCAAGTCATCACACATAGCTTAGAAGGGAAATATTTTTTAGCGTAAAAGTTTATTGCTATTATATTTTTGAGGGGCTATGAATTCTCGTGGATTTCCATGGATGGGCACTCATGCCCCCGGCTTTGTGCAAATAACCCCCTCAAAATAAAGAATTTAGGAAATTAAAAAAAATTAATAAAAATAAAAAAAAAACATGAGAAAAACTGTTAATTATCTCCAACCTCTACCTCATAGATGGGGGCTTGTTTGCTTTTGAAAACCATTTCATCAGGGGAAATACGACGACGATCAACCAGGAGCTCGACGGTAGAAAATAAATGAAAAAATAAAATGAAATAAATAATCGTCCAAATTATCCGATGGGGGAAGTTTTGATTGGATTTGACCAAGATGGGTCGAAATCGCTTCGTGAACATTCGATGTCCCTCTATTACGAAGCGAGGCAGCGTTCGAAACGCCTGCAAAACGTGGGATAGGCAAGTCGGATACGTGTAACGCAAATTGTATCCAGGCGGATTGAAGGGGCTTCAATGAAGCGCTGAATGTGACCGTTCCATAACATCATACAGACTGACAATAACTTGAATTAGAACTTGCCTCAACGTTGCTTTGGACAAAATTTTTAAAAGGGATTTTTTGTCTCAGTAATATGACGTACGTCTTTTGGCGTCTTTTTGAAGTCTTCGTCAAAAGACCTATTATTCTAGTTACAGAATTGAGACAATGTTACTTTAATTCCAGACCATTTCTTATCACAATTACTTAAGAGAGGAACATGATGCAAACTTTCTAAGGGTCAACTTTTCAAAATAAGAAAAAAGGAGAAAAAATACAGAATTTAAGGGCTCACGCCTTCGATGTAATTGGAAGATGAAATCTACCATAGAAATCGCCGTCACCAAAAATTATAGAAATCGTAGAAATCGTTTAATTTCCCATAAAACGTCGAGAAGCGAGTTCACTTTTTTCCAGCAGTGTGAAAGGATAATATTTGAAGACAGTTACTACTTGGGCGAATTCTTTGGAGGTTATAAATGTCATGCTAGAACTCTTCTCCTTTTTCTTGGAGTGGAAATAAAATCGCATTATACACCAGCTATTCAACTGTCCTTGAGAAAATCACAATATAGAGTAAAAATAAATTGAAGACTTACAGATTAGGTTTGCCGGTCGCTCCACCGATTCCAAAACCGGTTTTCCTCGGAAGGTGGCCGCGTTTTCAGAGAGGCAACTCCTGCACAGAAGAAAACGAAAGTGTTATTTTTGTGTCTCCGTTCAGCAAACCGAAGAAAAAACGAAAAACATGCCACAATCGTGAAACTGGAAACGAAAAGTTTTCCAGTTTCATATTCAATATTCACATTAAAATTTTTAGATTCGTGATAGGGAGGGGAAGAGGGGGAAAAAAATTCAACGGCTGATACAGCGATCGTTGGATGCAGGTGCGCTTAAAAATGATGACATTGAAAAATTCTTCCAGAGCAAATCTGATATCTTCCAGTCTGCAATACCGCACACTCCATGAGTCATATTATGCGAGCATAAAAATGCAGTTAGCAGAGAATTATTGTGCCAGACGTTTCTGAACGTGATTTCTGGGGCATAATTCGAATGAATGCAAAAGATAGACCAGAGCACTAGTCCAGAGTTGACAACTCGTGTAAACCTTTTGCTTCATCCACTAATGCGGACACTCCTAAGTTTTAAATCTGGTCAAAAAGTTGTACGTGGCTCGGATCCGAGCACACAGCAAAAATGATCCTTTTTCTCTGCTTTAAAGTTTCCAATCTCTCATAAAGACTTAACATTCGCGAGAAGTCGAAAAAGTGGCTGATTTTTAAATCCTGCTGACAGGTCTGGTTTTCGGTTTCTAGACAAAATCCGGAAATGTGCGACTTAAAGAAGTTGACAACACAAGATTATGTCCGCTTAAATTTATGTAAAATAATATTTGTAGAGGCAGGCTATCTCGTCCATACAATTGATTGATGGTTATTTATAAGGACATTTTCCATGCAGGAACTACTATTTCTGGCTCATTTCAGAAACAAATTACATGTTGTGGGTTTCCGTGTAAACATAGGCGATTTTATAGATGAGCCAGAAACAGTAATTCCCTACAGTAAAATGTAGGTAATCTAATTGATTTAAACGAAGGAAAACCGGCGATGCCGATTTATTAACTTACGAGGCTCGGTACTGGACACTGAAGTTTTTGACGAATCGCTATTAAGAAATGTCATTTTGCTCTAACGGAGAAAAATATTCTTTTAAAGAAACTTGAAATTTCACTTTTCTACGGCACATTTGTAATAGGTAAAACAAATAATTGGAGGAAGGGGAGAAAGACCTTAAATATTGGTAAGCCGTAGCAGGCGGAGGGAAAATTACTACGACAAGTTTAAAACTTGACTGGTACTGTGCAAGGTTCGGCATGATACTATCAACGTGGAAAAACGGGATTCGTCAGCCAAAGGCAAAAGGTAAAGGCGGATCACCGTAGCGCACAGTGAACCGAACCATTGAGAGCGAGCAGACATGAATTTTTTTAAGAGAACAGCACATTTTCATGTTTACTTTCGAATGTTTATGGGGAGCTTCGGAAAGAAACTCTCGCGAGGAAACCAACGGAACCACTTATGCTTTAAAAATTCGTATTAAATTGACGAAGATAAAAGTTTAAACTTTTTTCACGTCATTTCTGATCTCTTCCAAAGCGTACTCCACTGTGCGACGAGTGGACGTGGCAGCAAATTTGCGAAAATCGACGGAGCTCGCAATTTTCCAGCGGAGCCGACAAGTAGGGTGCCAAATTGAACTAAAAAGCTCTCGTATGGATTTGCTGGGGAGTAATGGATGCTCATCTGACGGTGCGATTCGGCGCTTATACGAAACGGCACTGCCGTATTTACTTTCGCGAATTTTCCCGTTTACATGAAAGAACCAATGAAATACCGTGAAATATGGAGAGGGAAATGTGATTGAACTCTATACGACATTTTTTTCAATTAATTGTTACAGCTTCAATATTTGTTTCAGCCACACTTTCAGTCGAGCCCGAAAAATCATGCGATAGAATCTTTCGTCTAAAATTTGGCGGATGCTTGGATAAAAAGTTTTGGGACCTTTGGAAAATTATAAAATAAACCACGGTGAAAATGCAATACGTTCTAGTAGGACGTAACAGTGCTCAGATTCCAGATGGCAAGCCACGGTTACGTTATCAGGCAACGTGGTATCTGTTGGGAGTAGATAAGAGCTTCCAAGCTTAGTTTTACGTTTTCATGAAATTCAGACGCAAAAAAATTGAGTACTCCGACTATCCGTGCACTTCAACGAACACAATACTGAGAATCCTATAGGAAATCGTGCTGAAACTGTTGTGGAACGTCTAGCACAGCAGGAATTACAGCTAACAAGGGGAACTTACGGACCTGCCGCCTCCGATTGGGCTGAATTTTTTTTTACAGACTCTATGGACCAATTCTAGAGGTCAATTTGAGCCGTTTTCCCGAATGCGCAATAGGAAGGGCGTAAAAAATTCCCAAAAGTTGCGTTTTCGGCGTGTGATTTGGTCGTGCGGCGCGTGGCAACACTGAAGCAGCCTCTTGTACCGCTTTATCGGCCTGGAGGTTTCAGCGGCGTCCGGAGCCCTACTGCACAGATACTGGTTCCAGTGATGTCCCGGGTTCGATCCCCGACTTTTTATTTTCCGCATGATCACGTAACCTTTTATTTTTAATTCTTCATCCGCATTTATGAATCAAGCAGTTCCGATCACTATCCCCCCCCCCC